CCTTGGAAGAGGCGGAGAGGTGGGTGTTTGTCATCTGCTGGTGAACTAACCGGAGAGAATTACAGCGAGGGAGGGATTGCAATGAATAACAGCAGCAGGAGCAAACGCTTGCCTCTGGGATGGAGAAAAAGAGCCAAAGCGGAGAATAAACAGAAGGGCAACCATGGCAACCATGCGCGGGAAGTCTTATTCGCTGCTTTTGTGGCAGACTACAGCGCCACTTACAGGCCTGGCATATGTACTACAGCGTCTCCAGCGCTCTCGAGCGGCAATGGCCGGCCGTGGCCCAACCCCACATTCCCCTGATAGGTGGAGAATTGACAACTAAGCGGAGCACCCCTTTTGTGACGTAGAAAATAATTCAAATCTGGATCAGTCTGTATCATATGGAAGCACATTTCCGCCACTTGAAAAAAATAAAATCCCCATGAAAAGTCATAATTATGAGATAAAAAGTCGAAATGAGATAAAAAGTCATAATTATGAGATAAGAAGTGCGCATGCGCTGCAGTGGCGCTGTCTTCAAAGGTCCCTTCATCACCTTGCTGCTCTCCACCATGCAAACGGCATCTTGTCCTAAATAAGGTGTAACTACTCTGTTCTTGAAAGAACATTACAGTACGCATCGAACCGATGTCCACAATCACGTTTATTCTCTTCTTTGCACAATCATGAAACACAGTGAAAACGTGTTTGCCTAGTAGACCAGCAGTAGAATTACGTTATCACATCGTTCACACTTTTACCGCACACAAACACAATATAAACATCCGGGGCAAGAGGTCACATGACTTCCGGAAAGACAACTCTTATCATTTTTACAAAATAAAACAAAGTTCAAGCATACATTAAACACTCTTCAAAAAGGACAAAACAATAATAAGGGACCTTTGAGCGTCAGCTACATAAGGTAACTATTACAGGTGACTTTTGTAAATGTTAGATGTTACATCTAGCCTATATTGCAGCTAAACAACAATGCAGTTCATAGCTTTGACATTACCTGTTATGAACAATAATATTGCCTATAGTTTTGTGGTAACGTTCACGGGTTAGAGTCTTAGGCTTACAACTCACAGCAGCAGTATGCCCACTGTACACTATTGTCATTAGTGGCGTGAACGTTACCACAAAACTATAGGCATATATATTATAGTTCATAACAGGTCATGTCAAAGCTATGAACTGCATTGTTGTAGTTTAGCTGCAATATAGGCTATATGTAACATCTAACATTTACAAAAGTCCCCTGTAATAGTTACCTTATTTAGGACAAGATGCCGTTTGCATGGTGGAGAGCAGCAAGGTGATGAAGGGACCTTTGAAGACAGCGCCACTGCAGCGCATGCGCACTTCTTATCTCATAATTATGACTTTTTATCTCATAATTATGACTTTTTATCTCATTATTCCGACTTTTTATCTCATAATTATGACTTTTTATCTCATTATTTCGACTTTTTATCTCATAATTATGACTTTTCATGGGGATTTTATTTTTTTCAAGTGGCGGAAATGGGCTTCCATAGTATCAGATCCGTTGCAGCCCCTTTTTTAGAGATTTGGGTATAGAGGAAAAGAGAGAGGGTTGTATTTTGCATGATAGGTCACCTTTAAATTAGCCTTTGCTTATGTTTTATTTTCCAACGCCATCTAGTGGCTCAGAAATGTTTGGGCCCAAGGCCAAACTTACTTGCCGACCCCTAGCCTAGAGCTTTGTAGAGTCAGAATATATTGAAAAAAGACAGATTTAATGTGCAAAAACATGTTTGCTTCAGTCTGTATTTGTTTTTGTTTAGCTTTTGAAAAACATTGCATCTCAGATTAGCTGGATCCACATTTTAAATAGCAATGGGTACAGGTGCACCTGGCATTTAAAGGAAATGAGGAATGAGTCTCTGATTGGTTGATTTCCCAGGTTCACCCAGAATACACCTGTTTTGCCTTCATTTACATCAATATTTAGTTTTTTTGTTTTGTTTATTAAGCAAGAATTTAACACGCTATGAATGCACCCGTGCCGTGTTCTTACAACCATGCATTATGGATACTTTAAAACTGGGCCCAAGGGGTTCCAGAAAAGAAAAGCAAATTTTAAATGTAGGCTTTTATATATAGCCGTAAAGAACCATCATCTACTACTCACACCTGTACAAGCATCATAAAGAACTAAGCCTCAACCTCATTAGAATATTAAAATGTTTTAACCACTTCCTCTTTTCGGTCCTGCAGGAGACCTTCTGATCATCATGGCGCAGGTCATCGTTTCAGTGCAGATGGTTCTGGAGGAAAAGTTTGTCTACAAACACGACGTCCATCCTCTCAAAGCTGTTGGGACTGAGGGTAAGACAGTCATTCATCTGAAGTTTACATGATAGATGTGATTTAGGACAACAAAAGGGAACATGTGCACCTAAAACTCACACACACAGGAATGTGATGAATGTAGATATGTTGAGAGTGTAGCCACATATATTAAAACATACAGATTTTGAAGGATCACCTGAAAGAAAAAAAAAGTTAAAACTGTAGATATAGAACATTTAAAATTCTGCTCTCTATCTCCAGGTTTCTTCGGGTTCGTCGTCCTGTCGCTGCTTCTCATCCCGATGTATTTCATCCACGTGGGAAACTTCAGCGACAACCCTCGGCAGGTCCTGGAGGACGCGCTGGACGCCTTCTGTCAGATCGGCCACAAGCCTCTAATCCTGCTGGCTCTGCTGGGCAACACCGTCAGCATCGCCTTCTTCAACTTCGCCGGCATCAGCGTCACCAAGGAGATCAGCGCCACCACGCGCATGGTGCTGGACAGCCTGCGCACGCTGGTCATCTGGGTGGTGAGCCTGGCGCTGGGCTGGGAGCAGTTCCACGGCCTGCAGGTGTTGGGCTTCCTGGTGCTGCTGGTGGGCACAGCGCTCTACAACGGGCTGCACCGCCCCCTGCTGGCCAGGATACCGTGCTGCGCCCATCTGGTGGCCACCGAGGAGGAGGAGGAGGGGGGGGGACAGCCCAGGGGAGAGGGAGAGACTGCTGGGGGACGGCAGGGTGCAGACCCCGGACGAGAGCTAAAACAAGAGGACACTCTGTGGAGGACTCTGTCAGGGATAGTCTGTTTTTAAATATGTTCCTTTCTCAGATTTGACACAATATGGTATAACATCTGGGAGTGGGCAAGCTCTTTAAGAGGACACAAGGGTAGTTAGTATCCATTTTCTAATCTCTGGGCAAATAACTCGGATGGTAGAGAGTGATGTCCAGAGGAGCTTTTATTTTACAATGCGGATTTTAAAGGGATTTATTCAGGTGAGAAATTAAAAATGAATTTCTCAAACACAACTAAAGTCTCAACATTAGCTCCTTACCCCTTAAAATAATTATTGTTCTTAAAAAAAAGAATTGAACTGACAACTTCTCTATTTAGTGCTGAATCACTTAAACAAATACTGTCAGACAAGATGAACAAATGTCAACTTACTTGAACTTTTATTCTGATTTTCTTAAATTGATGGAGAAGCTTCTTGTCTATGATTTAAAAAAGAAGATGCTTGGGGAGCTGGGTGCAGACGGGTCACAAGAGCTAAATCTTGAGGACTCTTCGTCAAAGTCTTGGCACATTTGACAGGGATAGTGTTTTTTTAAATATGTTATAATTACACACTAACACAAGCTCTTTTAGAGGACACAACGGTACTTGGTACTAATCTTCTACCAAACTATTTGCAAGAAAGACAATTAGTTATTTTTTATCTTTAAGGGATTTATTCAAGATGGAAATGAACAGTAACGTTTTTTAACAAGATAATTAAATCCCGGCATTTGATCCTGACGTACATACATTACATACTTAAACTGACTTGTTTAATTTAGTAAAACCTGGGTTAACAATGAAGAAATGTCAACTTCCATTTAGTTTTGTTCAGATGTTCTTAAATCGATGGATATGTTGTTTTTGATAATGTTTTTAGAACAGGTTTTTATTGTTTAATTGTTGCTGTGCAGTATGATTGTGCCAAAATATTTTCACTGAACCAACAGAGACGGGAGTTTCAGAAGTTCAACATTTTCTTTGTAATCAAACAGAAGTCTTTTTTTTATTTGTTTACTTAAAGGTGGGGTAGGTAAGTTTGAGAAACTGGCTCGAGATACACTTTTTGTTATATTCCATGGAATGCTCTTAACATCCCGATAGCAATGAATATCTGAAGTGCTTTGACAAAAAATCCATTAAAAAATGTCATCTGTGGAAGCCGTGGTACTGTAAAAAGCACGACCAATCATCTGAGCCGGCCCGGCTAAAATAACTGGATGGCCTGTCAGCCTTCCATCTGTGCACAAACTTATCTCGTGCCCTCATTGGTCATGTGCGCGTTCGTGTGTGTTGGAGGAGGGGCTCTGTAAGGAAGTGGCAGATTTTTTCCGGCTGTGTATTTTCAAATTCTAGCGCACTCGATCTGGTTTCTCCAAAATTACCTACCCCACCTTTAAAAAAAAAAAAAGGGAAAAAAATTGAATGAGTGCAGAAATCAGTTTTTCAAAATGTCTGTAGATACATTCACTTTCTGCAATTTCAATTTGTGTTGATTTAGTTGTACAGACGGACATGTATCAAAAGGTCTAAATCCTGATTCTCATCTCTATTTAGTATTTTAAAGGCTGTAACGTACACTAAGAAAAAAGGGAACGGTCATTTAATCACACTTGTTGAATGATGTATTAGCATTTTTACTCAGGCATTTGTAGACCTGCAGTCAATGTGATATGATGTAATTTTTTTAAATACACTTGTAAAACAACCTACAAAGTCTTATACAATGTTTTTTTCTGCTCGTAAAATATTTGCATAACAGTTGACCCAAAGAAACATGACAAATACGTTTCTTTCCAGCTTCCCTTCGGTGAGTATTTGCAGATTTTCTTTTGCCATTTTTAGTTAATTGAATATTTTTCAAAATGTTTGCCCCAAAAAAAGATATGTGAAAATAGTCTTTCATTAGTTAAATGGTCAATTTGAGCATTTCTTAACAATTCATACGACATAATGATTAAGCTATTATATGAAAAAATGACAGCAGAATAATTGATAATGACAACAACCATTTCTTGTGCATTTTACAGTGTTTGCTTACTAACATAGTTTGGATTGATCAGGTGTTCATCCGAGGGGGGAAAGGAAGACAGTAATGATATTGGACGCTTTATTTCACTCTTTAAAATGTTTTTAAATTATGTTAAATGCATGTATAATGAAATATCCTTACATTAGTTTCTCTTCTTACAGAATCCCAGTTACCAATAACATGAAATTCAGACACATTAGTGATGAAGACGTTCAGCAGTGGGTAATGATTCGGTGTCACCGCTCGGAGCGGCAGCAGCTGACACCTGCCGACACTTCCTGAGTCAGAGCTGCTTCCTCCCTGAAGACCGCTCCTGTGCTTTAATGGAGGTCAAAGATTAAACGCAGAAATCCCCCAGAGATCTGCACACACGACCCCCGTCCAGCTCCAGGAACAGGATGAGGGAAAAAGTGCTAATTGACCCAACACACATGAACACACTGATTGAGAAGTCAATGTCGTACAACAACTATAACCAGCTGCACAAGAGGGTTGACTTTAATGCAGTTGTCAAGAGTACCTTGATGACATGAACAAAATAAATCCAAAATGTCCCATTTAAATTCTTTAATCACGTATGTATAGATGTACAGAGGAGATCGATTATTGGTCCTGCTTAATTGTGTTTTTTTGTATTATCATATTTTATTAGGTTCCTTTTTAAAGCAGTTTTTCAGTTTTAAATTAACACACACAAACACACATTGATTGTCGCATTAGAACACGACATGACCACTAGATGGCAGCATTTTACTAAGAAATGATCACAGCTCCTCGTTTTGTGTTCTGGTTATAGGCAACTACCTTGTCAATGCATTGAGGAAAGGAGACATTATTCTACGGTAACATCATAAGTAGCCTACTAAGCAACAAGTCTTAGTTGTAAACGTTTGTGTAGAGAGATATTTAAATGGCTATACATATCCCATATTTTTTATGATGCACAATCCACTGGACGAAATATTTGTAATCCTAAAAAAACTTAATGTAGCAATATCTTCTAGAATAGCTATTACGTTGAACATTGCATATCAGAGTTGTAGGAAAACGTTATTATTTCTATATTAAAAAATGTTATAAAGTCTACTTTCTCTTTTTTTAGAATAAACTACATATTACTTTTTATGTTAAGTGTATTTTACTGGGTTAGGAGCCAGCATGAGCATAAAGCAACACAGATGTAAAGCACATTTTGTTTTAGGGAGATGTGGTGCAGAGTTGGATCAGGATTTACAGCCTCTGATAAAAAAAAAAAGGGGGATTAAAATAAAAATAAACCAAAAACAGTAGAGAAGAGACTCCTGGGACAGCATGGAAAAACATTTACAGTAGCTCTTTTCTGGACAAATGTGTCCCAATGCGATGTGTCCTCCCCCGAGACAAATTGACCTGCTGCTTGAACCCAGAGCAAAAAATAAGCCTGTGAAAAAGATAGATAGATCTACTTTTCAACTTTTCAACTATCAATGTACAGAAATCAGCCTTTTTTGATTTGATACACACTAATGATGTTTTAAATAAAGATCTTTATATGAGTGATGTCATGTTTTCAGGAGATCTTGTTTTGCATCTTCAGACCTGCTGCTGCTGTTTGGAGTTTCTCAGCTGATGAATCGTAGGCCTATTTTCCCGCCTATGCTGCGGATTGATATGCCGAGATGTGAACCATTGCTGCTGCACGGGGAGATGCTCTGCTCTTCGTCACATTGCAACAGCAAACTGTCCTTATTAATGCATCACCTAAAACATTTCTGCACAAATTACGCATGCGGAACAATGCTTGGACACATATAATCCTGAATTATAAAAAATGTTAACTAGAAATCCAATGCAAAATGGGGGGGAAAGGGAAACAAGTTAACATTGATTGTTAATGTGTGTATTTTATATGATCTGCTGTATTGTCCCTTGTTTAAAAACGCATTTCAAAGCATATCTGACATCTTCTTCCCAGTGTTTTATTCTCCTTATGCAGCTCGCTTCAGCAGCAGCAGGCCTAATGGTTTGTTATTATGACCTTTTGTGTTTCCATTAGTCTCCTCCTGCAGTATTTGGCTTACAGCTCGTGATTTAACCGTGTGTACATCTGCACACTGGAGCTGCAGAGGGCCCTGAACCTGCCGCACAAGAGGCGACTTTAATCTGTCCCAACGTAAACACGTGGCTTTGCTCAAAGGCACTGAGTCACCATCATATTTAAAAGCTTCCATTAAAGCGGCTCCTTTAGCGTGTTTACAGCGGAGGGCACAGCGGGGTGAGTGTGATTAGTCTAGCACTCCAATGTCCAGATAATGACCACTTAATGTTTTAAACCCGGCTGTGCTGAGAGCAGTCAGGCTACCACAAAAGGAAACATGGCGGCCATTCATAACCCCGGAGTCCAATGGGTTCACTTTAATATGTCGACCTCTCATTTTTCAGCCTGTTTAAAGTGGAGATTGTTTTTGTCATTAAGGTTATTAATAGGTTATTTGAAATGCTGGAAACAGAAGTCTCAGATAGTTTATTGACTTAAAGTGGTCAATAATATAGTGTAGCTAAACTCTGCTAAGTCAAATTCCTGCATTCAATAGTCTACATAGGTTACTTTAAAAACAAATATAAGAAGTCCCTATGCAAATTATTATTATTTGTATACTACTAAGTAGCTGCAATGAGTAATGCTTACTTTAATGTAACAGCTAAATGTGAATCTGGCTGGTGAATTTTCTGCCCAGGGATCAAAAAGCTTTTATTTAATACATCTTAGCTTATTTGATGACTTAATTTATTATTATCAATCTCAATATGCAATGAAAGTAATTAAAAGTGTCAAATAAATGTTGTAGCAGAACATTCAAATAAAGTACCAGTAAAATTGCATAAAGTAAGATGAATGCATTGAGTTACTTTTATTGCAGGTTATTATAAGTAGCAACTCCAGACATGTGATAATTTACCCCTGAGAGTTTACAGATCATCACCTGCTGTAAGTCCACATGGAGTCAGTGTAACACTTATTTAACGCCTGAGAAACAAAAATCTCCATCAACACCAAGTCATTTAAAAATCTAAACTTAAAACTTGAACATTTTAGATGGACAAACTCCAGGCTTTAAGGATTGAGTTTACATTTTGGGTTTATCTTCATGTGATCAGATTCGAAGGTCAAAGCATTTTGTTCAATTATGTTTTCTCTTACAAGAACAGCTGCTGCAGTTGCTCAACATGGACGACATACAGAAACAAGAGCAGTGCTGTGATGTAAGTTTAATCATGAGTAATGGTACTTTACTTGAGTGTTTTCATGTTATGTCACTTTCTACCTTTACTCCACTGCATTTCACAGAGAAAGATAGTGCTAAGTGTCCTATGCTTTCTACTCCTTGGGAAATTATTTGACAGATTTAGTTAAAAACATACTTTTAAACGCAGGATTTCTACACACAGCAGAACAAAACAGATAGGAGTGACATTTCACCTCCAACATGCAAATCCATTTAAGTCCATCTCCACATCAGAGAGAGTTCAGTGTTTGAATTATCTTGGTTATATTCAGGATCAGATAAACGGGGACAGTGTTGTTTGGACTTCATACACATCCCTCACTTCTTCTTTTTTTCTTCTTCTCTGGAAATGATGGCAGGGTGCCATACAGAAGGCTGTGTACAATGGCCCAGGTCCCATTAAATCTGCGAAAGTTCCTTCCTGAGGCAAACATTGCCAGAAATAGTAATCTTGGCTTGGAGCTGGAGTCTAACAGAGGGGGAGCAATAATTCTCGCTGTAATAAT